CGGCGTGTGACTACATCGAGCAAAAAGCTACTGGACCGTTTGTGTGAGGTACTGACCCTCAGAGAGGCTGTCACGCTACTGTCGGGTGCCTCCCACCTTCCTTGAAGGATGCTGAGAGCGTCTGCCCCGGACCCACACACACACGCAAGGGAGGAGGGCCTTCTGCGGGCGCGGCGTAGAAAAGAGAGAGAGGCTCGCGCGGGGCTGCGGCCGCCAACGGGACGGCAGGCAAAGTGCTGCGTGTTGCGGGCGGGCCCGGCGTCGCGTCCCGAGCAAAAGGCTTAGAGGCGGGCGTCTTTTTATTTAAATTATTTTCTTTAAACAGTCGGGAAGGAGTTTGGTTGGGCTGCGGTTTTGCGGCGGCGGGTGCGCATTACAACACTACCGCCAGCGCAGCGAAGGAGCAGCCCGGTGAGTAAATGACGAGGTGTATATTTTAAACGGTTGGGAAAACTACTGCCGATGAGTGTTCGTGGGGGATGTTGTTTGCGTGTGGCGTGCAGACACACGCGGCGCGGAGGCGCCGCAATTCCGTTGAGTTGGGCGGCGCAGGCGGTCGGAACGTAGCGGTGCGGTGTGGGAATAAAAAAGAGCGCGCCGGGGCCGGTGGGGGGAATTCCGCAACGGCGCCTCAAGTGCCGAAAGAGTTGCCGGAGGGGGCGGCGTTGGGGGAAGTGAGCGGGGGAATGCGGCAGCGGACGGCATTTCTACGGAAATGGTTTTAAGGGATTATTTTTTTTGTTTGTATTTACCTGCGGGCACGAGGCACAGCCGGCAGGTTGCCCTGCTGCGAGAAAAAGGGAGGCGCCGTGCCCCGTGACCTCGCAGCAGAACTGTTTTTGGTTTCACTTTCTATTTGCTTTTATTTTTTTTTTACCTCCGGGCGCCACCAAAAGACATTTGCGTGGGGCGGGGGCGGAATAAATTCCTCCTCGCGCGGCTGCGGGCGCTGCGTGCGCGCATTGGGCTGCTGCCGCCTTCTTGTTTTCTTCCTTCTCTCCCTGCTCTCTCGCTTTCTCTCCGCGGTACTCTTTGCTCTTATCCTTTACTATTCATCTCTCTTTCTTTCTTCTCCCCAGCCGTTGTGGGTCGAAGGCGCATCTCGCTGGCCCCGGCGGCTCCGCTGCCGCGCCGCCCTCTGCGGGGACGGAGCGCGGGGCGAAGACGAGGACTCAGGCGCCCGCGCTGTTCTCGTGCCCGGGCGGTGGCAAGAAGTTGCGTCGGCGCCTCACCGCCGGTGGGGGTCGGAGGAAGTGCGCAGAGGGCCGGGAGAAAGAGATGGATGCCGCTGTGAGTGGGCGCAGTTTCGGTGGGGCGGCCTGCACCTGCGCAAGGCGCACGAACCCCAGCCGAACTGCGCTGCCGCCCCGGTCGAGGCCACTCGCGCGTTCACGGTGAAGTGCAACGCGGGCAGCGACGGCGGGGGTGCTGTGCGTGTGGTTGGGGGCGGCGAAAAGGAGCGGCAGCGGCGCCTCCGCCTCTTGTGCGACTCTCCGGCGCGCCTGACGGCATGATCGCTTGTGAGTTGCAAAGACCCGGTGGAGCAGCCGCTGGGGAGGAAGAGGGTTCGCCGGGAGAGAAAAGGGCCCGGAGGTTGCCACCGGGCGGGCGGCCGATTTGCCTGCGGGGGGAGGGAGGCCGGGAGGTCGGTGCCGCGGGGCCAACTGCGGCGGCAGCAGGCAGTGCGACGAAAGGGAGGAGGGGGCGCCTGGAATGTTGCGGCCAGTTCTGCGGACGGCAGTGGTGCCACCCCTTTCTCGGCATGTGCACCTGCACCGCTGGGCAATGCTGAGGGGACAGCCGCACACACCCTGGCTGCGGACAACGCGTACGCCTTGTGCGCTCATTTTGCTTGTCGTCGCTGTGGGACAACTTCTCTCTCGTTTCTGCTGTGCTCTGCGGGATGTTCCCTTTTCTTTTTATTTTTCTTGCTTGGTCACTCCATGCGGGTTCCCACGGGCGGTGCACCCTCTTCCCTTTCTTGTCCGCAGCTGCCGCCCACACACACACGCGGTGCCGGCCGCATTGCTCTGCGCCGCACGGACTGCCCAAATGAGACACGAGGCCGCGGCCACCGTGGGGTGCAGCTGTGCGTGCGTGTGGTTGTGTCTGCGACCAGGCAGTTGTTTCCTTTTTTTTATGGACAATAAACATATCGACGCAGCTGATGAAGAAAGAAACTGCTGACCTTTTTTTTATTTCGGGGAGTTTAATTCTTCTTTTTTTTTCCTCTGATTTCTGCGTTGCTCCCGCCTCACTGCTGGCTGGGCGCCTGTGCCGCGCCCACCGCCCCTCCTGTCAAACCCCTCGTGTGTCTCTGTGTGCGTGTGCTGGCACCTCCTCTGCCCTTTCACTGCCGCTGCGGATGCACGCACACACACACAGAGAAAGAAAGAAAGAGGTGATGTGGGAACGCGAAAGAGGAAGAAAATACAAGAAGAGACGCGCCGTGGCAGCTGTTGTGGGCCCTTCACCTCACACGGACTGCCCAGTGGCATCCAAGTTGCTTTCTTTGCTTGTGTGTGAGAGGCTGCCGTGCCCCAACGCCCTCGCGTCGTGTGCGATTGGTGGGGGGGTGCCCGTTGTGTGCCCATTTCAGAAAGCAATACGTTCCCCTCTTTGTGTGGCGTGTTTGTGGGTCTGTGTGTTTGTGTGTGTGTTTTTGTGTGTGTGGATTGCTGCTCTTGCTCCCTGCCGTTGTGTGCGCTGCCTCGCCGGCTGGCCGCAGCGGGTTTCTTGCGTTGCGGAGGCCGCGGGTCTCTCGCGTGAGGGGCCGGGCGTCGCTAGCGAAGCGGAGCAAAGCCAGCGCCGCGCGCGAATGGCGGCCGGGCCGCCCGAGCGGCCGCGGGCCCCGGAGGAGGGGGGCGGCCCATGCGTCTGCGGGGCGGTCAAGTACGTGTTCAGCCCCCGGCGGGCGGGGTGGGTGGCGACAAGCACGAACGTGCGGGTCCTGGCGCCGCACCGGGAAGCCGCCAGGGGCGGCATGCGCGCCTGCTACGACGTGGAGGAGGTGGAGGAGGACGGCGGCAGGATCCCGTGCGTTGCGAAGCTGTTCTTGCGGGACGTCTCCGACGTGGTCGAAAAGGACTACTTCGGCGAGGGCGAGGCGCAGTGCATGTGCGAGGCGTTCGCCGAGAGCTTCAATAAGGCCGCGTTCGCTGCCGGCACCGAGAGGCCCCAC